GAGTAGTCGCACGTAGGAAACACCCCCTTCATGAGCTGAGGGTCGGGACTCAAGTAGTCCCCGAAATCGGCTAGAGCTTTTGTTGATTCCGCCTCGACAAACACGACTCCCTTTGCATTACAATCGATCTCGTACCTTCCGTTGTCATCGTTAAATTTTAGCCTCCCCGCCAACGGGTAGAATGGCACTAAGGCTCTACTAAGGGCCTCCTCGAAAACGTCGGTATCGAAAGCTTTTGTATAGAGGTGGAGTACATTAGTATGCGAGTATGGTTGGCGTATGATCATGTCTAACTTCGATAGCCAAAGACTACCTTTTGGTGTCTCCTCAGCTGGACGTACAATGGTTGATTTCTTCACTTTGATGCTACTACTCATTTTAGTATAATTTTGATGAGTAAAGGAAAAAGAAATTATTGTAAATGAGAGATGGATCAAAGTAATTTCCAATAATAATAATAATAATAATATGAAATTAGAATTGGGGTATATAAACTGGGTTTTTCTTGTGTTAGTATATTTGAAGATGAGTGTATCGTAGTAATTGCGTTGGGATTAAAATGTGGATAAGTGTAGTTCTACTTATAGCTGAAATCGAGGGTAAGAAAATGTGATTACGAGAAGCTTGGACTGGTCGAAAATGGAGGTGCAATATGTGGTGAGGAAGGTTGCATGGTTAATGGATGGTGTATGAATTGATCTGTTACACGTAGAAGAATGTAATTTGCATGCGGTAAAATCCGTAGTTGGAGGGAGTCAGGGAGGTAATTGTAAATGATGGCGTTGTTATTGATGGAGATGGGGATGAAAATGAAGTTTTTTATTTCCTTCGTTCTTTGTGGTTAATTTTCTGATTTGATTTGGGAATGCTAATTTACATGCTTGGACATAATTTGGTCCGTTTCTTCCTAGTATTTTAGAAAATATTAGTTAGTGACGAAGCTATGTTCGGATTTTAATATTAATACTTATTCATGTTCACTTTATCTTAGTTTTGCTGAACTAAAATTATTGAATTGAACTTAATTTATATAAAACTGAAAATTTTTAATGAACTGAACTTAATTTATATTAAACTGAAAATTTTTAACGAACTGAAATTAATTGTACAGAATATAAATTGAAATTAGTCAATATATATTGGTTAGCAATTGTTTAAATTACTTGTACAACATCCAGAGTAGTTTATTTTAAGTTTACGGAGTAGATTAAAATGTTGTCATATATGTTTTTGGAAATATATATAAACTAAATTTGTTACTCCGTATTTTCATAATAAAATGAAAATTTCTAAAAAAAAAAAAAAAGGTTTAGGAGAGAAAATTCCCTCCAAAAAGAACTCTACTTTAGTACAGGAAAAATTAGAAATAATAATCCCAACTTTCAACGATTTTGTTCCAATAATCCCAACTTTGGATTATTCTGGAATAATCCGAACTTTGGGGGTTATTCTTTTTCTTCAAAAAGGACAAAAATGGGAAGATAATCTCTTTTAAGGCTAGGTTGGTGGTACAAAATTTTACTCAGAAGGAAGGGGTGGATAATTTTAATACTTATGCACCCGTTGCTACAATTACATCCATTAGAGTTCTTATGGCTTTAGCTTCTATTTATGGCTTGCTTGTTCTTCAAATGAATGTAAATATAGCTTTTCTAAATGGGGATTTAGATGAGGAAGTGTACATGAGGCAGCCTAAGGGTTTTGTTCTTCCTGGTAATGAAAGTAAAGTTTGCAAGTTGGTTAAGTCCTTGTATGGATTAAAACAGGCTTCAAAACAGTGGCATGAAAAATTTGATTCTGCAATTTTGTCACATGGTTTTACTCATAATTCTGCTGATAGATGCATTTATTCTAAGTTTACAAAATATTATGGAGTCATTGTATGTTTATATGTTGATGATATGTTAATATTTGGTACGAATATAAAAGGCATTAATGAGACTAAGGAATATTTATCTTCTCCAAATGAATGATTTGGGTGAAGTGGATACAATATTAGGAATTCAAGCTATAAAACACAGTGGGGGTTATGCTTTGAGTCAGTCTCATTATGTTGATAAAATGCTTGATAAATTTAAGCATTTGAATATCAAAGAAGTCAATTTCCCTTATAATTCGTCATGTAAACTTGAAAAGAATAATGGTAGAAGAGTTGCTCAACTTGAGTATGCAAGTGCAATAGGTAGTTAAATGTATGCATCACTTTGTACTAGGCCCGATATTGCATTTGCAGTTTGCAAACTTTCTAGATTTACTAGCAATCCTAGTGTTGAACATTGGAAAGCTATTGGTAGAGTTTTTGGTTTCTTAAAGAGAACCAAAAATCTTGGTTTGCATTATAATAGATTTTCATATGTTCTTGAGGGTTATTCAGATGCTAGTTGGATTACTAGTACTGGTGATAATAAATCCACTATTAGATGGGTTTTTATACTTGGTGGAGGTGTTGTTTCTTAGGCTTCAAAGAAACATACTTGTATTACTCATTGCACCATGGAGGCTGAATTTCTAGCCTTGGCAGCAGCAGAGAAAGAAGCAGAATGGCTGAGGAACACGTTATTAAATATAGAGTTATGGTCACAACCGATGTCAGTCGTTTCTTTAAACTATGATAGTGAAGCTACTTTTTCTAGAGTGTATAATAAGATTTATAATGGAAAATCTAGACATATTAGTTTAGGACATGCATATATATGTACGTTAGTTAAAATCAAATGGGATAATAACTATTGTATATATACGGTCTTGCAATACTTTGCCGAATCCATTTACAAAAGGATTACCAAGGGACATAGTGCAAACACCGTCCAAGGAAATTTGTTTGAAACCAATTATTTGATCAGGAACAACGGAAACCCAACCTTTCCTATAGTACTACCCCCATTATAAAGGGTCAATGTGGTAAAAACAAATTGTTTGTTGATGATATATTGATCATTGTTGAGTATAATTGATATATATGTGTAAGGGTGAGTTTTAGACTCTTAATAAAGTTTCAAAGGTTATTTTTGTACTTCACCTATATGAACATAAAGGAATGGTGTCGTTCCTAACAAAATTATTTTGTACTTTTGTAGATATTCATGAATACAAGGATGAGCATGTGGCCATAATAAAGCTACCACAATTCTAAGAACATTTGGTTCAACAATATTGTGTGTGTAGAATTTCCGGTAATGATATTTAAGATTATGGTTCAAAGCTACATCCTACCATTAATTTTGTTGTTAGTTTGAAAGTTTACACTAGGTGGAGGTTCAAATCGATAAGATACCTTCATTGATGCATAATTTTGTTGGTTAAGAAGATACACCAATTTTGTAGACTAAGTGCGGGATTGTTAGAGTAGTCATCATAATAGGTGTTGTGAATGATGGGAAATTAGTCCCACATTGGTAGAACAGAAATTGGTTATATAGGTTAGTTTATATAGTTTAATGTTGGGATGGAAGTCCCACATTGGTAGAATAGAAGAAATTAGCTTGTTCAATTCTATTTAGCTAGTTGTTGGGAAGAAAGTCCCACATTAGTTGAATAGAGGAAATTAGCTTACTCTATTCTATTTAACTTGATGTTGGGAAGAAACACCCACATTGGTTAAATAGAAAAAAATTAGCTTGGAGCCGGTGTATAAGTTTAATATTTTGAGCATAACAAATTTTAATATGAGTAGTGCCTGATCGGGCGGGGTTTGCCCATTCGGGGGCGAACATATACTTAGAAAATTAATGTTTGCTCGCCCGATAGGGCTATGTTAGCCCGGTTGGGCGCAAAAGAAAACTTATTTTCTAATAATTAATCAATATTCGATTTGAGATATATGACTAAGCTAGTAGTAGTGAGTTCGTTTACCTTGCTAGCAGCGGAATCGAAAGCGACAACCCACATACGAGCAGTGAAGTGTTTACCACTAGCGTAGCTAAACCCCCACTTGACTCCTTAAGGAAGTGTGCCTTCCTGCTTAAAATAGTAAGTTGTGTAACTATTAGAATAAGGGAAGCGGTTGATCGAATAGCCAGACCAAAAATGGTATTCAAGATTTGTAAGAACGTTGTCGGTAGCGTTTGTGGTAGGGCTAGTGAATTGCAATTTTTACGACCGTGGAACCGCCTCGGCCCGACCCTTAGCCTCCAACTCCTTTTTCAGCTTCGTATAGTCAGCTTTTGGATTCTTCAAAAGCACCAATTTTGGCTCACTTGTCTCCGCCATGTTCCTGGCCTTAAAAAAACATTTAAGAAATGTTTTTTTTTTTTTTTTTTTTTTTGACAAGAGGAACTACAAAAACAAAAGCAACAATAAAAAGAAAACTAGAAAGACCTAAACATAAATCTACGACGACGAGCTTTTGCAGCCAACCAATGAGTAAGAGAGACCGAATTCCAAGGAACGTTCGTGATATGACAAGCTGAAAAAGGTAAAAGAGCAGTACGAATATCCCGCAAAAGCCAAGCGCACGAGATATCACCCGAGCAGGTGCGGTAGAGAAGGGAAACAAGAGTAGTGCGGTTTGTGTAAATAAGAAGACGGAGGTACCCCCGACGACTTGCAGCCTAAATAGCCCATAAACACGCCTGAAGTTTCGCTTGAAGAGCAGACGAAGACCGACAAGCTCTTGAACCACCCCCTAAAACCTTTGAGGACTGAATACCCCGGAAAATGCAGCCTGTCCCTACAGCGTTATCTTAAGAATCCCAAGCACCGTCGAAAATTAAGCAGAAATCCAGATAAACAGTAGTAGAACCACGCAAGCACCCAGAACCAGGAACCAAGGAAGAAAGGCAAGGTTGACGCGGAACAAAATGTCGATCAACAAATACCCCACATTTCTTGCAACGCATCACCCAATCCTCCGAAATGTGGAAAATCTAAGCTGGAGAGTGAAGAGTCTGAGTGAAAATGATTTGATTTCGAGCCTGCCAAATAGCCCAAAGAATGCAAACCAAAGAAGTTAAACCTTTCCAATCCTTAGACCTTCTAAAACCCAAAATCAACTCCATAAACTAAACCTCAAACGGCGGAAAACCCAAAGTACTACCAATCGAGCCTGAGGGTCGAGAAACCAAGAAGGTACTAGCGAAAGCACAGTCCCGAAAGAGATGAGACGACGTTTCTGGTTCCCTATGACAGAACACACACGTTGGATTGATAGGTAAACCACGCCGATAGAGACAATCCAAAAGCGGCAAAGCATTGCGAATCATCTTCCAACAAAAAACCTTCAGCTTCGGAAGAAGTGGTAAACCCCAGAAAATCTTCCACCATGAATTAGAAGCCTGCCCATTGATACTCGAAGCCGCTACTTGACGGGCTAACATAGCGTAGGCAGACTTGGTTGAAAATTGGCCATCCCGAGTAAACTTCCAATACAAAAAGTCATCCATCGGCTTTAAAAGGCGTTTTGCTGAAAGAATCCGGAATGCCATCATGTTAACAAAGAACCGGTGAACCAGTGAAGGATCCCACGCGTAAGAACGCAGATTAATAATAGAGGAAACATAAGTCGGAACATCTGACCCATCGTAAGAATGTTTGAATTGTACTGGTCCCCTTGGAGCCCAATCATCTTCAACTATGCGAACCTGAGAGCCAGAGCCAACTTTCCAAGCAATACCCTTGGCAATAGTGTCCATGCCAATCTACAATCCACGACAACCCCAAGAGGATCTAGGAATCCTACTTGAAGGTAAAGAGAAAAGATATGGATACTTGGCCGATAAAACCTTCAAAACTAAGAGTTGGGGATGATGATGAATGCGCCAACACTGCCTAGCTAACATGGCCGAATTGAAACACTCCAAACTGCAAATACCTAGACCTCCTAGTCCCTTAGGGAGATAAAGAAGAGAAGCAGACCGTAGAGCTAAACCCTTGGTTGTAGTCAAGGAACGCCACCAGAAGCGAGCTAGCATGTTAACAACATGATGACAAATAGACGACAGAACCTTGAAAACTGACAAAATGTGAATGAAGGAGGCAACTAAAACCGAATTGATGATGACTAATTTTGCGGCTGCCGAAAGGTGGAGAGCATTAAAAACCGAGAGCCGCCGAGACACCTTGTCCACCAGAAATTGAAAATCAGAAACCTTTTTACGTCCCAAATCTACTAGAAAACCGAGATAGGATCCTTGATTTTCAGTGCTTCGAAGACGTAAGCAGCTAGCTAGATGATCTCGGTAGTCAGAGGGAGTATTTGGACTAAACTTGACAAAAGACATCTGCAAATTAATCATTTGACTAGACATAGCATAAAACTCCTGCAACAAATCTAGAACCCGACCATAAGCCGAAGGAGAAACCTGAAAAAACAACAACGAATCATCTGCAAAGAACAAGTGTGAGATGGAAGGAGCTCCTCGGGAGATACGAATCCCCTGAAAAAGTGCTTGCTCCTCCTCCTTATGCAACATAATAGGAAGAACATCCATACAAAGAACAAACAAATATGAAGAAAGAGGATCGCCTTGTCGAAGACCACATTGAGGCTTGAAGCTCGGCGAAGGATTCCCATTGACCAAAACCTGATACGACATTGTGGAAACACATTGTTGAATAATGTGAATCCAATATGAAGGAAAACCAAACAACCGCAAAACCCGGAATAAGAAATCCCAACGAACACGGTCATAAGCCTTGTTCATGTTCAACTTAAAAGCTGCATAAAAGTGTTTTCTAGCTGTCGAAGCATTCATAAAAGCAAGAAGCTCGTGAGCTATTAAGCCATTGTCGGATAAAAGCCTCTCCGGAACAAAAGCATTCTGGAAATTCTGAAACCAATGAGGGAAGCACCAAACGAAGACGGCTGGTAAGACACTTAGCTATGCACTTATATAGGACATTGCAAAGGCCAATGGGGCAAAATTTAGACACTGCCTCGGGACATTCAACTTTAGGAAGCAATACCAGAAAAGTACAATTCCACTCTTTCAGAATATAACCATGAGCAAAGAAAAACTGCACCGCAGTAACCACCGAAGAGCCCACCACTTGCCAGTGAGACTTAAAGAAAGTTGAAGAGAAACAATCAGGGCCATGCGATTTGTTATCATCTATGTTGAACATAGCTTCCTGAATCTCTTGAGGAGATAACGGAACCGGTAACTGATTTTGTTACTCTGTAGACAGTGAAGGTAGCTACAACTAATCCCACCAAGGGGAATTTGAGCCAGAAGAGGAATCTGAAACTGAATACAAATCCTTGTAAAAGGAAAGAGTCAGGGACCTAATTCCTGCTGAATTAGTAATCCAACTTCCGTCAAAGCGTCGAAAAAACGCAGTGATCCACGTCAAAGCGTGACCACCCCAACAATCAGGAACAAGATTAAAGTTTTGTGGTGGATTTGATGTGGGATTTTGTAGGGGATTCTTGCTCCATTGTTAGATCTGAGTAAAAGTTGTAGAAGATTGAAGATTTGAGGAAGGAAGAAGTGAAAATGGAGAAAGAAATATGCAATGTTTCGGGTGGGTTTTGTTATTTGGGTGGGCGGTGATGGTGGCTAGGTTAGTTGATTGGTAGTGGTGTCGGCGGCTATGAGGTGGTTCTAGTGGCGGCTAGGATGAGAGAGAAAGAGGGTATTCTGAGCACGTGACCCTCACGTAACGATTCAACACCGGTAAACCAAGTCAATGGCCTGAAACCGGGGTAAGTTGTGTTCTCGCAAAGAAAAAAATCTGGTTTTAGGTGTGCTTTAACAAAAAAAAAACAAAATTATAAGATGGTTTTTCACAACAAAAGGGTTATAAAAAGTGTTATCTGACAAAATTTCCTAAATAAATGGGTTGGGCTTGTATTGGGGACGTCAGAATAGATGAAAATTCGTCCAAACGTTTCAGGTGCTCTTCCTAGCCGTCCCCAAATTTGGGCCACCTTTTGAGGGTACGCCATGGGACATATTTGGGCCATACCCGTACCGTACCCATCCATGATACGTCCCCGGTGCGGGAAACGACTACCCTTCAGTGTACCGTGTATCACTGGTTGCGAGAAGGTTGGGGTAATTGCGGGTGTGGTTTGAGGGTGATGCCTTGATAGTGATCAACACCTGAAACGGTTCTTTGCAAGGATGGTCCCCCTATTTGGCTTATTTATGATGATGTGCGCTTGTTAGTTAAGTCTTTTAATGTTTGTAGTTTCTCTCATGTAAAAAGCATGCAATGTAGTATCTCACAACGTAGCAAGGTGGGATACTAATGGTTTTACTGAAAGAATATGTATGGGTTCGTTTATCCTCAAGGTCTTCTTACCGTAATCAATATATCGCTCTTTTTACCTCAACAACAACAACAACAACAACAAAAAAAAAAAAAAAAAAAAAAAAAAAAAAAAAAAAAAACTAATACAAGTAATAGGCTTCAACTATTAAGGTTATTTTTTTTTTATTTTTTTATTTTTTTACTTTTTATTGAGTTGATCCTATATTATGGTGAAATTTTTATGGTAGAGGCTATGTACCAAGCATGGTACATCCAGCCTTTGTAAAGAACATAAAACTGTTTTGTAAAACATAAAGCTGTTTTATAAAAAAACATTCAGCTTTATGTTATTTTTGTATATCTAAAGAACATCCGTACTATTAATAAAGAACATGATAATATTATGTAATCAACATTATTTATATTTACCCACCATAATCTAAAAACAAAATTCAAAAAACATTTCACAATAAGCAATGCACATTATGTCACAAATAAATGTACATTACACTGACAATCAAAGAATATGGACACTTACAACAGTTTATCAATATATTTAATTAAGATTATTATCTGATATAATAATGAACATATGAAAAGAACAGAGTATTAATAACTAAATGTATATTATAAACAAATATAAAGTACATCATGTTTTCTAATAAAGAACATTATTTAACAGTATATTCTTTTCATTCTAGGTATATGTTCATTACATTTTAATAGTATGTTTTTTTTACTATAACTATATGTTTATTACATTTCTATAATATACTCTTTTCTGCATTTTTTTAATGAAACGTATATATCATGCACGTCTCTACGAACCAAGGATTGATAATATGGTATCAGTTATAGTGTGAAAAAATATTCACTTGTTATAATCTCACCCATCCCTATCTACAAAGGTTATGCATGTCACTCAGCGTAATTTTTATTTTATAGAAAGATGCCATGGTGTACTACTTAAATTACACTATTGTGACAAAGGTTTGCTTAAGCATATACCTAGCTGGAGTAATTTTATTTTATTTTTGGTTGTTTGAAAGGATAATTTAGATTAAGCAGGTTGTGCATGCATGCCTCAAAAGTTGCACTTATTAGTTATTTAGTTCTACACAATTGTTCCTACTTTCAGCCAGTTTAGTATTGTGAGTACATAATACATTAATACATATCTTTGCTATTTCCATAATTCCAGCATTTACAAAGCATAATTTGGTTCTTACACTACTAGATAAATGAAGTTTCTTGTATTACAATATTCGTAGGTTTGAACAAGCTTTACTTGTTTGTTAAGACTAAGGGTTCTAAATCTTGATGAATTTTAAAGCTCCACTGTACTTACCTGGCCTTAATTTCACAATTTAGGGGTTAACATAGTAGTTTTGTGTAGAAAAATGGCAGGAGATGTCAAATGCATCAGCATAACTAAGACATATTCCAAGCAAAAATCTATCTCAATTGAGTTTGCAAAGCAAAAACAAGGGAAAAAAATATAAAATAACATACTGCTTATGGGAGAAAATTTATTTTTCAAATAAAAGGCAAAAATACTTGTAAGCATATATAATCCAAACAATTAACTTGAAATGGAATCCCAACTTTGATTCATGTCCATTAAACAAGATTTACCACCGTTTAGCTTGTTTAAACTTTAAGTAAAACACAATTTTTAATATGTGGTTGGCCACACATACTGTGTGGCAAGAGTTACTTATTAAAGGGTTACTTATTTTGGGGTTACTTATTCAGGGGTTACTCGGTCGGTTAGGGGTTATTCTCACACAAAAAATGCGCTAACAAACTGAGTAACCCCATAATAAGTAACCCTTGACCGACTGAGTAACCCCTAAATAAGTAATCCCGGCAAAAACGCACCAACCGACTGAGTAACCCCACAACAATTAACCCTTTGACGAGTAACCCCTAAATGAGTAATCCTGAATAGTAACTCCGGTGAAAACGCACTAACCGATTGAGTAACCTCGTAATAAATAACCCTTGACCCCGGATAAGTAACCCCGACCACACAGTATGACCAGCCACACAAAAAAAGCACCGCAAGTAAAATGTGCATAAGAGAATTCATACAAGAGCCCACCAAGAATAAAAATTTATATACATCGGTTGTAAAGTGCAACCCACAATTTTTTTTTTTGGAACAATACCCATAGATATAGTTTGCTCATTTAATATTATTTGTTCATTTTAAAATCTAAAAATGAGTGCACACACACACACAAAAAAAGGAAAAAAAAAATAAAAAAAATAAAAATAAAAACCAAACCCTTAGGTGCACCTACTTCCATAAAAGGTGTTATTCCAAGAATCGTGCATCAATACATATTCATAGTTTGCTACTAATGTTGTAGAAGTACTCCTTAAAAGCCTCCATATGAGTGGAGAAAAGCTTGAGGGTCACCGAAAAACTACCATCCCTATCTGAGCTTGGTGTAATGAAAGATTTGCCTTCATACTTGATTGCATTAATGCTCGTATATATGGGTCCACCCCATCCAAAGTCACCTTCATATAAAGGCAAACTAGCCCAAGAATTTATTGCGAAATTAGGACATGTAGAAGTTTGTGACCCTCGAACAATATCCATTACATTAGGACGTGATTCCAAAAAATCAATGGCTGATATTATGTATTCAATATCATCAAATTTTTTAATTGCCTCGTGAATTTTACTCGCAGCGTACCTTAATGGTTTGCACTTGATATCTCCTTCCTTTTCTAAACAAGTTGCATATAAATGGATATTACCAAAATAACCTTTTGGTAGCCTCATATCTTTCAATCTTGATCGTCCGTTTACTACGATGTAAAGTTTGACATCTTGATCATTTGCTAATCCACGCGCCATGCATACATTGCGCCACACATGCCCAGCTTGAACCTCAAATGTACTTAATTTATAATTAGTCACTTCTTGAGATGTTACTTGTAATTTTAAGGTGTTAACTTGGTCTTTAGTCAACTTCAAAGTACACTCGGTTGTCATTATCATCTCACCTGATCAAATAATGAGTGTTATGAAAACAAATTAAGAACGTAGTCAACGGCGGATCTTGAAAGTTTAGGGCCAATAATTTCTAATATAATTTTACGTTTAAAACAACAATATAATAACATAAGCATACAAAAGTTATTCATAAATTTAATAATATATACCAAGGTTATTCACAAATTTAATACTATCATTAATGTAATATAGAATAATATCATTAATGTAACAGTTAAAAAAAAATTAAAACGAATAATTACTGATGTTTGTTTTTAGCCTTTTAATTGTGCTCCCTTGGAATAAGTGCATATATAATTTAAGTTCATTAAATTGGTGGTTTGATGGCAGAATGAATTACAAGAGAGATAGGGCGGGCTTTGTGGGTAGTGGGTTTGTTAGTGTTTTGTTGGGAATTGGGGTAGTACTCCTATTTATTTGACTTGCTTTCTTAGATAAATAGTGTGTATTTTATGCGCCTTTAAGCCTTTTCATATTCAATTTTTCTTCCTAAACCTATCAAGGGCTTGAGCCTCTTCAATGATCCGCCCCTGAACACAGTACATAATATATATACTGAACTGCTATTCGTCGTTCGCAAATTACTGGGTGACGTTCACATTTTTAATTGAAATGACATTTTTGCCCTTGTGGGTATTTTATCTATTTAAGGGTCCACCATGGGTAAATTTAGTTACCGAAAACATTAAAAACATTACCGACCCACCACTTGTGTTAAAAAAATCCCAAGCATTAAAAAATCCCGGTTCCACCATTGTACGGTAATCCCGAGGAATTTAAAAATCCCGGGCCAGAAAAGGAAAGTGTACGGAGTGATGTTTTACGATGGACGACGACAACGTTCACACGCCGGAGGGTTCGACGGAAGAATCTGTAAGTATTTCGGAATTTTTTTTTTTTGTATATAGGACATCCGCTTGATTTTTCCAGAAATCTGGGGGAGATCCGCCCAAAATTTTCGGATGCCCCCAATAACATCCAGAAATTTCAGGCGGATGTGTACATCCGGATGAAATTTCCGGATGTAATTAGGGACATCCGGAAATTTTAGGCGGATCTCCCCCAAATTTCCGGAAAAAAGAAGCGAATGTCCTTTTTTTTGTTTTTTTTTACGTTATTGTTATTGTTATTATTATTATTATTATTAATATTATTATTATTATTATTATTATTATTATTATTATGGTTATTAATATTAGTTTTGTTAATTTTGTAAATTTCTGTTATGATTATGATTATTATTAATATTATTACTACTATTATTATTACTATTGTTGTTATTATTATTATTATATTAGTTATTATTTGTTAATGTTACGTAGTTATTGTTGTTATTATTATTAGTATTATTATTGTTATTGTTATTATCATTAGTATTATTATTGTTATTATTATTATCATTAGTATTATTATTGTTATTATTATTATAATTATTATTATTATTATTATTATTATTATTAATACTATTAATATTATTATTGTTATTATTGTTATTTTTATTATTTTTATTATTATTATTATGATTATTTGTATTATTATTGTTATTATTATTATTGTTAAATTTAAAATAGTAATCCTTGCGTGTTTTATTTGTTTGTATTGTTATTTTGATAGGATTCGGAGGTTGAAGACGACGGTGACGTTGTGAATTACAGTGCACATTTTGTGACAGACACGGTTTTTCTAACGTTTGACGATGCAGTTACATGGGCGGATGCTGTTGCAATAAATCTGGGATTTATTTTGGTGAAATCGTCTTTCAACAAACAAAGGATGGTCGACCAGTTCGATATTTAAGATGTGACCGGGGACGCAGGAGTAAGCCGAGAGATCTTGAGAACGCAATTCGGAAGGACACCAAAACCAAGGGCATTGGTTGTCCTTTCTACATCAAGATATGTTACGAGTTCGTCACCAATACTTGGTTTATCCGGGCGAAAGATGATGTAACTGGGACCCACAACCATCCAATGATTGCGTATCCAGAGGGTCATCGTAAAATTAGTGGGTTGAGCCCGAATGCGAAGCAGGTTGTGCGTGACATGACGAAGTCTAAGGTTGCACCGCGTAACATCATGGCGACTATTGCGGAGCAATTTCCTGATGATCATCCAAACATTAGACACATCTACAACTGCCGGAATGACTTCAGAGTGGAGATGTCTGATGGGAGAGGAGTTGTTTAGCAATTTCTACATTTGGCGAGACAGAGTCAGTATGTTTACTGGGTCATGTCCGATGATGAAGGCGTTTTACAGCACGCCTTAATGGCGCATCCAGTCATGGTAGACATCCTACGGACGTACCCCTATGTGATCGGTTATTATTCTTGGTGTAAGCCAAACACCAACTTGCTACTACCCATGCCTCACGATATTGCCGTTGCGGGCAAGAAGGGGGGTCACAGCACCGGAGCGAGAGTTTGTCATCGCTACAGTTGGGGCCTCACATTTTATTTGTATTGAACTTGCGCCTGATTCGCCACTTCCCCCGGTTGCAGGTTGGTGGACCGAGCACCACGACCCAAGTGTTGACGGTTGGGATCAGCGTTACGAAGCTAGAAGGAACATGTGGGATGCCTTAATTAGATAGTGAACATGTTGTTGTACTTTCATTTATGTTAAACAGTTGTCGTTATGTAATTTGCAACGAATTGAACTTAATTAAACAAAATATTTTCAAAACCACCAAAACAGTTGTTCAATACTTAAAGTACGTGACGAATAAATAGTACATAAACGAAATGCGTACAAGGGAAATAAAAAAAAACAGGAAGTTCACAACCCCATCATCGCCCTCCAATCAGCTCGTAGCGCCTCAGCCATTGCTCTTGTATCACGCGATAGGCTCGGATACTCCTCTAGGGTCCTTTTGATGACCTCCATAGACCGACCCATCCACTTCAATTAAAAAAAAACATATTAAATAAATCACAAGTTTTTTTTTAAAAAAAAACAACATATTAAAAAAATCGGATTTTAAAAACAACATATTATAAACAACATATTAAAATAACAAATTATTAAATTATACCAAAAAATACAACTACTTACGTAATCCGTGTTAGTTCTCTCTGGCAGTGTGCGACTCTCATGTGATGACGCAACTGGAGAAACACATGGATGAGAAAATCGGTACAGCCACTGCATGTAACCAGGACCGACTGTAGGAGCACCACCACCAAGTCTGCTGAGGGCACCTACCACGATACTAAAAGACATACCAGGGACAAACCGAGTCCACATCACAGATGTCATCTCTGGCGGAAAGTCAACCCGATACATCTTCAAGTTCGTCGGTCTCTTAGCCTTCTCAGGCCTGATAATGGCTGGTGGAATGCCCTGGACGTATCCAAGTTGTCGAACCACTCGATCAGGCATGTATGGCTCAATGATGCTACGATACTGGATGCAGCCAATGAAAAGAGTAGCAGGCACGCGTCGTGCTGGATCAACTCCGTACGGTAGCCAGTTAACTTCATTGTCAGTCAAATGATCCTACCTAGCCCGAAAAGCGAGAAGGCGCTCCATGCTCTTGTTAGGGCACCCCGATCCAACATCCCAGGCGGACGCACGAGGAATAGCAAGTTCTCTGGTCAAGGTCCCCTGCTGAGGCCGGAATTACGGAAAGTACTCGTAGATCCACGCCTGCAGAAGCGTAAGGCAGCCAGTGATAGAATCGGCATCTCTTCGTGATGCTGTACCCAATTGCCGGTACATGTATGCTAGCACAGCAGAACCCCAGGAGTACTCACTAATCTGAACATCCTCAACAAACAACTCGTTGAGGAAGGAAGGATGAGTACGGTTTCCACTCTTGTCCAAAAACAAACAACCGCCAAGTACTAACCACAGGTACGCTCTGTAATGGAAACTGAAGGGCCTCTGCGCCTCCAAGGTCGACTCCACTATCCTCTCAGTCAGGACCCCACTACCCTGCCATACGGTTTTGGTACCGCACTTCTCATTCAGCTCTTCCTCAGTCATATCCAAGGTAACCGAGCACGCGTCCCGTAAAACGTCCATGCTAGGAGTAGTGGAAACCATGGAACCGTCAACACGAAGCCCTAGAATATGATACACATCATGCAGCATGATCGTGATCTCCCCAAAAGGCATGTGAAACGTGTTCGTGTCTGGCTGCCATCTCTCAACAAAAGCAGAAATTAAGGGCCAGTCAAATCGCCGGAACATGATCCCGGGTAAATGAGATATACCAGTGCCATCAATCGGTTCCAGGTGCTCCGGCGGCAGACGAGCGCGCCAGTTAGCCAATTCAGAACACAACTGTGTCCTGCTCAAACACCGCAACACGTTTCGCTCCTGCCCACCCCATATGTAGGCAGACACGTGACCCCCAAAACTCGGAATAACGGTACCATCCTCAGGCCCACCTGGCATCGGCTCCTGCACCACCCATGACTCTGACGAGCTGGTAGAAGCTTGACCTGGTTCACTACTGCTAACATATCTCCTATGGTCACCCCTATACACAGTACGGTAATCCTGAGGGTCATACTGTGCATCTGCAGCAGATTGACTTCCTCGATCTTCATCCTCATCCTCATCTGATGAAGGCACTCCAGTAGACGAATACATGGGGGCGCTCCCCTGTGACTGGTGCTCCCCCGACCAAGCACCAGCAGTCCCATACTGCTGCTCATGCTGAAACAGTGCATGTGAAGGTCCTACACCACCTAACTCCATCCTAACAGACGCATTCAAACGTCTTGATCTTGCATGACGAGGACCAGAACCCTCAATCTGCATTAAAAAAATAAGTACAGAATCATATTTCAATAATAATTCATAGTCAAAAAAATCAAATCAAAACTATAATAAATCAAATCAAATAAACAATAATAACAGCATTACAAATAATAACAATAATATTATTCTTACAATACTAATACACTACTAACAATAACAACACACTAACACACTACAAATAATTTCAACACAATAACAGACCAAATCAAAACTATAATTAACCACAAAACTGCCAAAATTTAAACGCAACAAAGACAACCCAATAAAAAAAACAATTACAATAACAATAACAACAATTTAAGTAAACAACCATAATACATAACAACAACAACAGCAAAAACCAATACAAACCAAACCAAATTTACATAACAATAACAATACATAGCAACAACAAACTTACTTTAATGCTAAACTATAATTATTGTAAAACTAAATAAACAAAAATTACATATCAATAACTATTGCAAAACTAAATCAAGAAAAAAATTATTTTAATGCCACAAATGAAGGACACAAATTACTTCAAAAAAAAAAGAAAAAAAAATGAAGGACACAAATATTTTCAAATTAAAACATGCACCAAATCAACAAAATCGAGGACAAAAAAAAATAAGAAAAACAAAAATTAAAAAACAAAGGAAAAACAAAAAACAAAAAAAGGTGGAAAAACAGAAAAACACACAAAAAAAAGGGAAAAACAGGAAAAAAAAAGGGGAATAACAGAAAAATAAAAAAAAAATAAAAAAAACCTGGAAACTGGACTTCCGCCCAGAAAATCCGGAAGTCCAGGGGAACTTCCGGAAATTTCAGGCGGAAACCCCACTTCTGCCTGAAATTTTCGGAAGTTCGCCTGGACTTCCGGAATTTCTGGGCGGAAGTCCCCTTGTCCAGAATTTTTTTTTTTCAAAATTCAAAAATTTAAAACAAAAAAAAAAACTCACCGGCTCGCCGCCGCTAACGCCGCCACCACGACCACCAAACGTTAGCCTAATTCTCCGTCGGTCTGCCATTGTCGGATTCAACGTTTGATTGCAAGATTTGCTTGTGTTTGAGTAGCCTTCAACTATTTTGGTTTTTTTTTAAAAAAAAAAATTTCTGATTTTTTTTTTGTCAAAATTTCAGATTTGTTGGAAGGTTTTAGAGAGAGAAAGTGTCAAAGAGTGATTTTGTGAGATGGGAAATGTCTCGTAAAGCCCTAACTTACTTTATCGAGTATTTATATACGGAGGGCAATTTAGGAAATTCATGTAAAAAATGTGAACGTCACCTAGTAAAATGCGAACGACGTTTAACAACACCCTATATATATACTACCTTAATAGCCTTTAATCTTTCACCCTTGTACCTTATACTTATTACCTATAATTAGAATGTGAAATTTGAATATGAGACCACCTTTTTTTTTTTTAGAAAGGAATTTGAGACTTAATACATTCACAAGCACTGTTTTTGAACAAAGGGAATGTTGTGTTCCTTTAATATTACAATATAAAGAGAAATAAATTATGCATTATACATCACACCTTTAATTTTATAATGGTTTAAAAAAAATTGATATTGTGAAAGACATATCAAGATGAATATTTTCATAAAAAATGTAATATTATGTATGCATGTAGATAAATATGAAGTATAAAGAAAATTCTCAATGGCAGTCATATACAAGTAGAGGTGTCAATTCGGGTAAACAGGTTGGATTTGAGTCGGGTTAGTCTGGGTCGGGTCATTTCGGGTTAATATCGTAACCTATGCAAGTCGGGTTCGGGTTGGGTCATGTTTAAGTCGGGTCATGTCGGTTCATATATCTTATCGGGTTTAAGTCAGGTCAATAACAAGTCAGGTTACATTCGGGTCGGGTGAACAATAGGTCGGGTTTAATTCGGGTTTTAACGGGTTGAAACGAGTTAGGGTCATTCTCGGGTTCGAGTCGGGTTCGGTTCAAGTCAATAATTTGCGAGTTATAATCAGGTCGGGTCATTTCCAAGTCGGGTCATGTTCGGGTTTGTGTTTCAAATATTGGGTTAATTTGGGTCTCGGGTTGATTTTAGGTCGGGTCATATCGGGTTCAGGTGTATTTTTCGTGTCGGTTTATTAAAAGTTCATGTATTGACGTTTATGTTTAATCAATATCAATTTCTTCATTTATTACATTTTTTCGCTTATTTTAGGATAAATAATTTCATATAAGTTCAAATTCGAACTAAATGTGATCATGTAAATTTAAGATAAATTATAAAAAGTTCATATTAATTTCGATAAAATATATATGTTCAGGCCCTATTCTAATCTATTTTTCATTGGTTCCACTCATTTTAGGAAACGATTTCAGACTAGTTTTTATTTAAGTTAATAAGTTCAAACAAGTTTAGATAAGATATATGTATATAATAAGTTCATATTAATCGAGTAAGATAGTTTAGTTTAGATTTTTAGAACATAAGTTTGGTAAATACGTCATATAATGTTCGAATTCGGGTCTCAAATACTCGGGTTAACTCGGGTTTAACTAGGGTTAGTTTCAGGTTGGGTCGTATCGGAACCGGGTTCGGGTAAATTTTTCAGTTCGGGTCAGCTTTTAACAGTTCCAGTAATAGGTCGGGTTACATTTGGGTCGGGTTTGTAATAGGTCGGGTTAAATTCGGGTCGGGTTAGTAATAGCTCGGGTTAAATTCGGGTTTTGACGGGCTAAAAAGGGTTTAGGTCAATCTCGGTTCAGGTCAATAATTTACGGGTTATATTTATTGATTATTTAAAGTGTTGGTGGTGCGCGCTCGTGCCCATGAAGAGCGCCCGCGCAAGGTAGGCGCGGCCGCGCAGAGCGCGCGCCCAAACCGCGCACCTCTCTGGAAATCAGCAGATTAGAAGGGTGTGGTTGGTGCGCCCGCGCTTCTAGCCGCGCTTAAACCGCGCCCCTCACTGCCTTCTTATGGAATCTCGCAGATTTTGGGAGGCGTGCCCGCGCCTCCCTGTTTTGCGGTTTTATGCTGACGGTTATTTCTTTTATTAAAAAGAGATTCTCGTGAAATGGAAAAAAGGACAGAACTTTGGTTCATCTTCTCTCCCAAAGGTATTCTCCACATTTTTCTCTCAAACTTCTTGCAAACTTTTGTGAGAAAAACTCTTGAAATTTAGCCAACTTTGTGAATTGTTCATTGTATTCCGATTCTAGTGCTAAAAACGAAATTTGCTGTCAATTGTATCTCAAAGAGGATTTCCGATTTAACCTAAGCACCATGTGGGGGAAATAAACCTCTTTAGGAAACTGTATACACGCCTTTGACAATGTATCAAGATTTGAGTCTTACGGGACACAAGATTTGAAAGTGTATACATGCTTGGTGTTGTCGGCTTGGAGGAAAGGCAAGTTTGATCATTTTCACACTAGAGTAGTCTTTGTAAATTTTCAGTAATTTCTTTGACATTTCTAATACTTGATTGTAATACATTGGTTTGTATTTGTTATTTACAATTTAATAATGTAATCACATTATTTAGGATTTGTACCCACACATATATTTTCTGTTAAGTGATTTTCTTGATTGAAATCGCTGTAAATCCTAACAATATTCAGGACAGGTCATCTCCAGGTCGGTTCATGTTCGAGTTCGGGTCTCAAATACTCGGATTAACTCGGGTCTAGGGTTGGTTTCAGGTCGGGTTATATTGGGTTCAGGTCACCTTTTTTCAGGTTCAAACAGGTCGGTTAATAATCGGGTTCGGGTAAATTTTTCGGGTTAGGTCAGTTTTTGACAGCTCTATTTACAACTGCGGTTTCTCAATGGTAGCCAAATTTTTTCAATAATCTCCTAAATAACATTAGTATTCTAATTAGTTTTTAATATAGCTATACTTGATTAAGCTCGTGTGATGCACAGTTTGTTTCTAGTTTTAAAACAAATATATTTATGTATGTATGTGATAAAATTTATTATTTTATTAGTTGTACGTAGAATATCATTTAATTTTGTTATTTTAAAATAAATTGTGAATTTTCTATATATTTAGATAAAATTCTTAATGACAAAAAATAATATTTTATATTTAATTAATTTAAACTCTAAAATCTTATTCGCCAATTATGCTTATGTGGCACTTGAATTATTTAATTCTAAAAGAAATCACAAATCTTTTATTTAATTGGCTATAACTAAAATTTATTGTGCAAAATATGCTCTTTAGAATGTAAATCAAAATGAAATAGGATGTAATCTTAATTTCAACAGTGGCTTATATGATATGTCCCGTCCTTCAATTTTCAACTTATGAATTGAGTGTATGTGTTCCTTAATTGCAGGTTCTATCAATGGAGGTTTATAATTTCACTTTAAATAATAAGTGTATGGAGCTCTGTAAACTTCGTAATCATTCATTGCTTATCGAGTTAAGGTAAGAATTAGGGACTAAACGTTTTTACTTTTCACCTTTTGAGACCTGAACTTTTTACTTTCACCTTTTGGGTCCTAGAAAAGAATTTCAGTTGGATGAATTAACTATGGTTAAGCAATGAGGCCCACCAATTATTTTAGTTCTAAATTTATTTGCAAAAGAGAAATTTTGTTAGTTTTTCCCAAAAAAAAATATTGCTCATTTATTACGGCTTTTATTGAGGTAAAAATGATGAGAATTGCAAAATGTTTGAGGGGAAAGTATTTGAAAGCAAAATTAGTGGGATTATAGAAATTAAAAAACCAATGACATATGCTATAATATCAAACAACTCCTACTATATCAAGGACATGACCACTATGAGGAAAATTTATTTAACGATGGTTAATGATTTTAGGTTAATTTGGTCATATTAACTTATTTTTTTTTTGAAACATGGTCATATTAACTTAAATATAGCTATATTAGAGAATAATTAGAATACTAATGCTATTTAGGATATTATTGAAAAATTTTGGCTACCATTGAGAATCTGCAATTGTATATGGCTATCATTTAGAATTTCCCTAATATATAAATATATGAATATTGCCTAATTATAATGCAGACGTTGCAATATTTAAGAAACATATGGGAATTATATAATTACCTGATAAGCCCTTTGGGATTAAAGGGGGTAAGGATGGCTCATACTCTAGGTGCCGAAACTTGACTTGAGGCGGGTTGCGAGGAGCAAGGTAAGTAGCCCTATCATGAACAGGATAGACACTAAGGTCTAAACCCCTAGGCAGTATAGCCCATGAGTTGAAGAAGTGAAAATGGGAAGTCCCATCAGCTACATGGTGATGTGGTTGAATACTAAGGCATAAACTACCACATTTGAAGTTGGTGATTTGCACTAGTAGTAGAGGGAATGACGAGAGCCCTCCCGAGTAGTCGCATTTAGGGAAAACTAACTTCTTGAGTTGTGAATTCGGGTTTAAGTAATCCCCATAATCGGCAAGAGCTTTTGTTGATTCTGCCTCGATAAATAAGGCTCCCTTAGCATTGCAATCGATCTCGTACCTTCCATTTTCATCGTTGAATATTAACCTCCCTACCATGGGGTAGAACGGCACTAGGGCTTTACTAAGAGCCTCCTTGAAAATGTTGGGATCAAAAGGTTTATTAGTATTATTGTTGGGAGGATAAAAGAAGAGAGCATTAGTATGTGAGTAAGGTGTGCGTATTATCATGTCGATCTTTGAGAGCCAAAGACTGCCTTTTGGAGTCTCCTTAGCAGGGCGCACCATGGTTGATTTCTTCACTTTGATGCTACTGCCCATTTTGTTCTAATAAGATTTTGATCGATAATAGGTAATTCTTAGGCTCAATTCAAAGATTTTGTTCTAATGTGAGTTTTTGGCTATTTGCTACTCCGTAGTAGTTAGAGTCGTAGAAACAGGATTACCTTTACCACCTTGTCATTTAGCTATTAGGAATCTATTGTGGGCCTCAATATCAAAACATAATCTTACCTGCCAATAAGCTAGTGTCGGTTAGATTTTTGAGCCAATCCATGCAATATAAAACTTAAAATTTGATAATCCCTCAGTACTTTTTTTTTAAACGTTATACTTTGACTGTGACATTGTTTTAGATAATTAAATCGTATTAAATATAATAAGAAATAAATGGGAGTATTTAAAAGTTAAAAATTTGTAAAAAAAAAAAATAAATAAATAAAATTTGTATTTGTATTTGTATTTGCATGAAAGATTATCACTAAAATGATTTATATGGCCATTTGCTATTAGATTTAGAGAGGATTACCACATATTCGTTTAGCTAATCACGAAGTTTTATATGTGGTTGGTCACATTGTGTGGCCGAAGTTACTCGGTTAGGGGTTACTTAGTCAAGGGTTAATCGATCAATCAGAGATTACTCGGTTAGTTAGGAGTTACTAGGTCGTTCAGGGGTAACTCGATCAGTCTAGGGTTACTCGATCAGTTTAGAGTTACTCGATTAGTGTGTTTTGGTATGTATCAGCCGGCCACACAGTGTGACCAGCCACACAGAAAAAAAAACTATAATATAATAATCCAGGTGCTAATTTTTTTTTTTTTTAGAAAAAAGGATAATTTAGATTAAGTAGGCATTGCATAAGTCAAAGTTGCACTTTTTAGTTCTATACAATTGTTCTTACTTTCAGCAAGTTTAGTACAATCTCCGTTTTATATAATTTGCAACAAAAGAATATTTTATATCTTATAAATAGTACCTGGCCTTACTTTCACAATTCAAGGGGTTTTTTTTAAGATAGTTTGAATTGACTTCGCTATTAAATTATTAATTAATCTACTTAGTCTCTCTTAATCAGGTTTCACTTGCCTAATTAATCTTAGGATTTTTATGTCTATTTCACTAATTAATCACAAAAAACAAATTTGGAAAAAAAAAAATGAACGTTTCAAATCATTGCCACAAGCTTAGCTTAAAGCCAATTTTAATCATACAGTTTAAATTTATTTCTTTATTAATGAATGATCATGCATTTTAATAAACCATGCATGCTTTACTACTTTAGAGTCCTCATTAAACATTAGAAGTCCTAAAACAATTAACAATCAGTAAGATAAATGACAAACACTTTTTAAATACAACCAACACAAATTCCAAGTAGAATTCTATCTCTACAAGGATTCTTGATATAAAAAGTTTGCAACTAGAGAAATAAAATTTGCAATATAAAACTCTTACGAATAAAAAAGAAATCTATATATGGGCTAATAATGCTTAAAACAAAAAAAATCAGAAGCCTGCCCATTGATACTCGAAGCCGCTACTTGACGGGCTAACATAACGTAGGCGGACTTGGTTGAAAACTGGTCATCCCGAGTAAACTTCCAGTACATAAAGTCATCCATCAACTTTAGAGGGCGTTTTGCTAAAAGAATCCGGAATGTCGTCTTGTTAAGAAAGAATCGGTGAACCAGTGAAGGATCCCACGCGTAAGAACGCAGATTAATAATAGAGCAAAACATGAGTCGGAACATCCGACCCACCGTAAGAATGTTTGAATTGTCCTGGTCCCCTTGGAGCCCAATCATCTTCAACTATGCGAACCTGAGAGCCAGAGCCAACTTTCCAAGCAATACCCTTGGCAATAGTGTCCATGCCAATCTGCAATCCACGACAACCCCAAGAGGATCTCGGAATCCTACTTGAAGGTAAAGAGAAAAGAGATGGATACTTGAATTGGCCAATAAAACCTTCAAAACTAATAGTTGGGGATGATGATGAATGTGCCAACACTGCCTAGCTAACATGGCCGAATTGAAACACTCCAAACTGCAAATACCTAGACCTTCTAGTCCCTTAGGGAGATGAAGCAGAGAAACAGACCGTAGAGCTAAACCCTTGGTTGTAGTCAAGGAACGCCACCAGAAGTGAGCTAGCATGTTAACAACATGATGACAAATCGACGACGGAACCTTGAAAACTGACAAAATGTGAATGAAGGAGGCAACTAAAACCGAATTGATGATGACTAATTTTGCGGCAGCCAAAAGGGGAGAACATTAAAAACCGAGAGCCGCTGAGACACCTTGTCCACTAGAAATTGAAACTCATAAACCTTTTTACGTCCCAAATCTACTAGAAAACGAGATAGGATCCCAAATTGTCAGTGCTCCGAAGACGTAAGCAGCTAGCTAGATGATCTCGGTAGTTAGAGGGAGTATTTGGACTAAACTTGACAAAAAACATCTACAAATTAATCATTTGACCAGACATAGCAATAAACTCCTGCAACAAATCTAGAACCTGATCATAAGCCGAAGGAGAAACCTGAAAAAACAACAACGAATCATCTGCAAGGAACAAGTGTGAGATGGAAGGAGCTCCTCGAGAGATACGAATCCCATGAAAAAGTGCTTGCTCCTCCGCCTTATGCAACATAATAGAAAGAACATCCATGCAAAGAACAAACAGATATGAAGAAAGAGGATCGCCTTGTCGAAGACCACATTGAGGCTTGAAGCTCGGCGAAGGATTCCCATTGAACAAAACCTGATACGACACTGTGGAAACACATTGTTGAATAATGTGAATCCAATATGAAGGAAAACCAAACAACCGCAAAACCCGGAATACGAAATCCCAACGGACATGGTCATAAGCCTTGTTCATGTCCAACTTTAAAGCTGCATAAAAGCGTTTTCTAGCTTTTGAAGCATTCATAAAAGCAAGAAGCTCGTGAGCTATTAAGCCATTGTTTGATATAAGCCTCTCCGAAACAAAGGCATTTTGGAAATTCTAAAACCAATGAGGGAAGCACCAAACGAAGACGGCTGGTAAGACACTTAGCTATGCACTTATACAGGACATTGCAAAGGCCAATGGGGCGAAATTGAGACACTGCCTCGGGACATTTAACTTTAGGAAGCAATACCAGAAAAGTACGATTCCACTCTTTCAGAATATAATCATGAGCAAAGAAAAACTGCACCGTAGTAACCACCGAAGAGCCCACCACCTGCCAGTGAGACTTAAAGAAAGCTGAAGAGAAACCATCAGGGCCAGAAGATTTGTTATCATCTATGTCGAACATAGCTTCCTGAATCTCTTGAGGAGAAAACAGAACCAGTAACTGATTTTGTTGCTCTGTAGACAGTGAAGGTAGCTGCAACTAATCCCACCAAGGGGAATTTGAGCCTAAAGAGGAATCTGAAACTGAATACAAATCCTTATAAAAGGAAAGAGTCAGGGACCTAATTCCTGCTGAATCAGTAATCCAACTTCCGCCCGTGTCTTTTAAACAATGAATCACATTATGTCGACAACGAGCTTGAACAAAAAGAAAAGAGTAGATGAGAGTGATTCTCTCCTTGTGCATCCCACCTGATCTTAGCCATTGATGTCATTAAAGAAAAGTTGCATGTGCCTCTGCAATCTTTTCCTCCCTAGTATTGTGAAAGAGACATCGATCAACCCTATTACCTAGATTACTCGCTGACCGAGTAACCTCAGAAACCAAGGTTTTCTAATTAATACCCCAAACCCCTCGATTAGAAACACACCAGTCCAACAACTTCTTTCGAATAATAGACAATTTTCGAGACAAAGAATACATTGGAGAACCAATAAAATTCTGGGACATAATGGAACAAACACTAGAGCAAACCTACCTAGCTGTTAAGCACCAATTCTCTATCCTAGACGGACGAGAGTTGAGACCTCTGACTCGTATCGAGTCAGATAAAACAATGGCAGCATGATCTGAAAATAAAATTGGTTGATGTTGTACCATTGTTTCTGGATAATCATTAAACCAAGAGGGAGAGGTGTATGCCCTATCCAGTCTTTCAAAGATCGGGTCTGAATTGGTCCTATTATTGGTCCAAGTAAAATGTGGTCCCGAAAAAGGACCATCCACCAAATCTAAGTTCAAGCGCCAATTAATAAAGTCCAGTCTACCCAGAATTGAACCGTTACCCCCAACCTTATCCGAAAGGTATTCGCCCAGATTAAAATCCCCTATCAAAACCACGTTTGGGGTAGAAGCTAAAATATCAGAAACGGTTCGCCAAACATCCAACCTATGAGTTACGTGCGGAGCACCATACACAAACAAGAGATGTTTAATTGCATCACCCACTACAAATTTACATAGAATTACATTTGGAGAGGTATATACAGGAACCAGCACCATGGGTGCAAACCAAAAAACAAACAACCCAGACATCTACACCGCAAGAACCCAAAAAAAAAGATAAAGACGCTAGCTTTTGTTCTACTGAATTTACAGAGAACATAGTTTCCATAAGAAAACCATCATCCAAATCAAAGTGCAGACTAGTGAAATAATATAAGGAATTTTAGGGGGGTCCGCTTGTCCTAGGCCCCTACAATTCCAAGCTGCTACTTTCATCGGCCACCGAGCCCGCCGAAGACACATTGGAGGAGTTCGAAAATGAGACACCCTTACGCTTTTTATAAGAGACAAGGCAGGTCGAAGTAGTAGAAACTAGATCGTGAAATCCTTGTTCAACATTTAAATCTGAAAGAAGGAAACAAAGGGTGACCCAATTCTCTGTAAAGAAACTCTAGAAAAGAACCTTTTGAAAGGAGGTTTCGGCTGTTTGAGATGATAGGCCTTGGCTTGGTACTGTCGATAATTATTATGCTCTAGGAGGGGATTTGATCCTTTAGCCAAGTGAGGATTGATTGCTGGAAACCTATTTGGGAAAGGTAAGAGTTTTCGGTAGTGTGAGCAAAGTGGCCTATCAACAAAGTCACGGCGGGAATGGTACTTATTTCTATTAGGTGTTGGTTTTTTGTGGGTTGGAAGTAATGATGGTTTCGGTTTGATGCTTGCAGAAGTTGATATTGATTCAGGGGTTGTTTTCCTCTTCTTAGAGGAAATGAGGGGAAGAGAATCAAGCTCAATGGTTCTTTTTTTGTTGACATTTGACAAGTAACAGGATGCGGTGGTAAGGCCAAATTCCTAGAAACAGAATAGAGATTCACTCTACTAGTTCTTATTTGAGAGGCAATGCCCAAGAGGCTTAATGGATAAACCATCAATAAGACCAGTGTTGAGCCTTTTGGTTTTGATGGACAAATTGACAAACTCGACTAATGAATGTTTTGAGTCTTTGGTGAATAAAGGATTCAAGCAAAGTTCGTTCCGGAGTAGGAACTTGGATGCGGAGTAGCATTCTCTAAAAAGCCTCGTGCAAATCTCACGTTCTAGTTTTAATTGTGAGCACTCAATATTATAAAGTCGGAAAGGAACTCAATGACTTATGTTAAAAAGACTACTGGAATAAAAGTTAGTTTTAAAAGATAATTTCTTAAAGAAAAGATAATTTGTAAAAGTTTTAATAAAGATAATTATCGAAGATAATTATCTAGTTGTTTTAATAAATAATAAATTTATCTTTTCAAATAAAATCTTTTTAAACAAACTTTTGATAATCTTTTTAAACAAATATTTGATAAGGATAGCAAGCGGTTTTTCTGTGTGAAAATCTTTATACGGCTAATGATTATCAAGTTGTTTAAGATAGTGGACTAATTAGATAAGGCTAGGAAACCTCTTCATGATTACCATCTGTCAAGATAACTCCACAAGTTGTTAGTGGGTTGTTGGCATGTGGACGTGATTATAGTGGAGGTTAATGACTAAGCCTTCTCTATAAATACTCATGCAAACTATCTCAGAAAGATATAACTCTTGAGCATAAAAATTCCAGTAGCCTTCTAATAACATAAAGAGAGTTATTATCCTTCTTATATTCTTGAGTGCAATAGGTATTTGTAATCACAGATTGTATACAAGTACTTTGGGGTTGGGATTGTGAGTTTGTAAGGTGAGGTTAAGGAAGCTTCGTTGCTGAAGTCTTCTGTGAGGGTTGGGAACAAGTTCCTAATTTGGGGAACTTGTTAACGGGTTTGAATCTTCACTTGTACAGAGTTTGATTACATAGTGGAAATTTAGAAAAGCCTATATCTTCTCTCGTCATTATTTCATTTAGTTAAATTCCGCAAAAAGTTTTTAGATTTCACCGCAAATACAATTCACCCCCCCTCTTGTATTAGCCAGTTAGACTTTCAGTTGGTATCAGAGCGGGAACTCAGAACACGCAGGCAACCCTGTTGAGTAAGTTCCTGGAAAATGGCTTACACAGAGGAAAAGGAATTCGGGAGTACATCCATTCAAAGGCCTCCATACTTCAATGGCAAATTTTATCCTTATTGGAAGGATAAGATGGAAATCTTTATCCAAGCAGAGAATTATCAGGTATGGCGGATTTTACAAGTAGGAGATTACGAAATTACGAAAACAAATGCTAATAATGAGGTAATCCCTAAACCTATGGATGAGTATGAAAAAACTGATTTTGAAAAACTTGAAATGAATGCTACTGCCAAAAAATTTTTAATTTGGGGACTTGGACCCGATGAACATACTCGTGTCAAAGGGTGCAAGTCCGCAAAGGAAATTTGGGATCTTCTGGAAGTTACACATGAAGGAACGTCAGATGTTAAACGTTCCAAAATAGACATTCTTTTGTCTCAGTATGAGCGCTTTGAAATGGGAAACAAAGAATCCATTAAAGACATGTTTACTCGATTTAAAAGTATTACTAACGAACTAACGTGTCTTGGCAAGATAATTCCTATAGATGAGCAGGTCAGAAAAGTCTTAAGAAGTCTTCCAGACAATGACAGATGGAGAGCAAAGGTTGCAGCGGTGCAGGAATCAAAAGACTTCACCAAGTTCAATCTGGAACAACTTGCGGGTTCCCTCATTACTCACGAGATCCAGTCGAACAATCGGACTCAGGAGACTGTCAAAAGTCAAGGGCTAGCATTAAGAGCTAATGAAGAATCCGAAGAGAAGTCTGACATCGATGAAGAAGAAGCTGCAATGTTGGTGAGAAGGCTGAAAAAATTCTACCGTAACAACAAGTTTTTAGACAAGAAGAAAGGATACAGTAAAAGAAATCAGGAACCCAAAGCCAAGTCTTCTTGTCACAAATGTGGAAGCACCAACCACTTCATCAAAGAGTGTCCATTATGGGAATCTGAGAAAGGCAAGGGAAAAGAAGCTGATCAAAGCAGAAATTCCAAGCCTAACTTTTCTAAAACAAATTTCAGGAAAGCAATGATTTCCACGTGGGGAGAATCAAGTTCCGAAGAAGAGGAACAGGAACACACAGACGATGAAGTAGCCAATCTCTGTCTAATGGCAAAGCATGATGATGAGGTAGTCATTCAACCTAGTTATTTGAAATCTCTCTCAAAGGATAAATTAATCTCTTTATTGTTAGAAACCTTAGATGAATATAAAGAATTATGTGCAAAACTAAGGCAAGCCGAAAAGGCAACTGGAATTTGTAGAGATCATGTTAAGTATCTGAATAGCTTAAGAAATGATGTTCAAGGCAGATTCTTTGAATTGTTAGATAAAAATATTATGCTAAAAGAATCCCTTGAAAGAGTCAAGAGTGAGAATATCATGCTGAATATTGAATTGACTCAATATAAAATGTTGTGTACTAACATTGATTCTTGCAGGTCTACTGAAGTTCCTTTAATCATGTTTAATAATGAACTAGAGCATGTTAAGAAAGAGATAAAGGAAACCAATGATAAAAATGAGAAACTAGAAAAGGACCTAGAAATTGCAAGAAAAAGTAAAAATACAGCAAGCACGGGTGTTCCCAAGTGGGTAAAGGAAGCTCAGACAAAAAGAACAGAAGGTCTAGGCTATGTTCATAAGAAGAAGTCCACTGGAAAGAAAAAGAAATATGTGAACTTACCTAGTGAGACCGTTTGTTCTTTTTGTGGTAAAAAGGAACATCGCAGTGAAGAATGTACTAAGAAAGCAAATCTGTACAATAAGAATGTGAACTATGTTTGGCAGAAGAAATCTGATTTAAATGTGTCAACACAGGAACCCATGAATGAAAGGGTTCCTGCTACTAACCCTTAATTTCTTTTGCAGGTCGCAGTGAGGGGGAACAACCAGTGGTACCTTGATAGCGGTTGTTCTAAGCACATGACAGGAGATGAATCCAGATTTCTCTCACTGACGGCCTATACAGGGGGAACAGTGACCTTTGGAGACAATAAGAAAGGCAACATTGTTGCTGTTGGCAAAGTAGGAAGGTCAAGTTCCCATGCAATTGACAATGTATTTTTTCGAGGGTTTGAAGCATAATCTACTCAGTATATCTCAGCTTTGTGATAAAGGAAACTCTGTAAGCTTTTCTTCTGAAAAATGCAAAATCATCAACAATAACACTGGAAAAATCGTTTTGGAAGGAACTCGTAAAGGGAACACGTATACCGTGGATCTTAACAAAGTTCCAAAATACAATCTATCCTGTTTAAGTGTTATTGAGGATGATCCACTTCTATGGCATAGACGTTTTGGACATGTTAGTCTTTCATTGCTTGACAAATTAAGGTCAAAGGACTTGGTAATCGGATTACCTTCTATCAAATTCCTAAATGACAAAATTTGTGAAGCTTGCATCAAAGGAAAGCATGTTCGATCATCATTTAAATCAAAGAAAATGGTAAGCACCACAAAACCATTGGAACTCATTCATATGGATTTGTGTGGCCCCGTTAGAATTCAAAGTAGAAGTGGAAAAATATATGTCTTAGTTCTTGTGGATGATTATTCTAGATTTACATGGGTCATATTCTTACATAGTAAAGATGAAACTTTTGATATGTTTATGACTTTCTTGAAAAAGGGCTTAATTAGGCTAGATTTTATTTCTACTGAAT